TTCCATATCTCCCATATTTGTCGAGATATTTCACCGGTCCGGTACTTTTTCCCTTTTTCCCTTTTTCGCGTGTACAAAAATAGAAAGAGAAACTAAGACGCTCGAAGAAATGCGTGAAACCAGGACGATAGATGCAGCATACCCAACTTGCCAACGCTAAATGTTTTTCACTTTTCACGGTTGATAGCCCTGGGAATCTATAGCCGTCGCAAAGCAAAAGTAGGCGTGGTTTAGCCGAACTGAGCACACCATGTTATCCCTTCCACCATGGTCTCAACCTACCACTTACCAGTTCTTCAGTTAACGCGGGACTAGGAGGACGTATGAATCAGTTCGCTGAGTGCGAAAGTGCCAAACAACCGAAGAAGAAGAAGAAGGAGGACGTATGATAACTACGGTCTTAATACATTATTAATTAAGAAGTACGCGGACATTGAGTGATATCGACACCTAGTCACAGTATACCTAAGGTTTCTTTTCTGTTCCTGCACTGATGAACTAGTGCAATAAATTGGAGTAAGACAAGTATATTTTTTCTCATTCTAGCTTACTGCACTAGTTCACCAGTGCAGGAAACAAGCCCCTAGTATCAATGCAGACAAGCGGCGCTACCATGCACGGTAGTGATCCGGGCATCAACGTCGGCGCCGGTGCGGTCGGCGCCGGTGCGTTCGACGCCGGTGCGTTCGGCGCGATGACGCACGACGGCAACGGCCAACTCGTGCCGACCGTGCCGTATCCCGTGATGGCGGATCAATTGCAGCAGATCGATGTACCCCAGAAATTACGCTACCATCCATATTCGAATTATCAGTTGTCGTCATCGTCGTCGACGAGGAAGAATGCGCGCAAGAGCAACCGGAGCTTGAGTGAGGCAATTGCTCTAGTTCGAAACGTGATACCGGTCACGCCGGACTACAACATCAGCAAGGTAGAAACGCTTGAAACTGTGGCAACCTATACAGATTTCCTGCTAGATGTTCTGATCAAGAGTAACAACGTTGAGAACGCAGGTAATGCCCCAAAATTGCCCGGTAATGCCGTAAATATTTACACCACAATGCCCTCAGCGGGGCATAATTTCTACGCCCTTTCAATATTTATCTCGCTTCTAAGATCCGCATCAATTCTTTCGGCGAGTCTCGAGCCTCACTTTATTTTGACACACGGAAAAAAACATTGGTAATTATGCATAAAAGCGACTTCCTCTCCGATTTGTTTTATTTTTAAATATGTTGTTGGGGATGTCTTCCCGAGTCATTTCATATATATATATAAGGGGGGGACTCAAATAGTTTCGGAGATACAGGCTGAAAAAGGTTACAAATAATAATATAGGTTTGTAATATTTCACGTATACCGAGATCCACCCCCACCCATCCTTGCATGCGGAG